GTCCCACCCTGGGACTGTCATGCCAGAACTCTAGCCTCATAGAGGATAAAAAGCCACCTGGAGAAGAACCCAAGTTACCCCAGGTAACAGCCAACATCAACTATCAGATATATTGAGTTAAGCTATTTTGGATCAGGCACCCACCAGAATTCAATGTGTAAGTAAGCCTGAGTGAGTTCAGGTGAGATCTGCAAAGCAGCTGTTCAACCCACAGAACTGGAAGAAAACATTACTTTTTGTTTAAGCCTAGAAGTTTTGGCGTGATGTTTTACACAGAAATAGAAAACCGATGTAGTCTCCCTCTTCATCAATATCATCTATGTCATAATTTACTGATATATAAAACACATACATTCATTTTATAAACCGAAATAACAACATAAACTACAGCATTTGAGGGGAAAATTCCTATTTACCTTTCGCGATGCCTTTCCAGTACTTGTGCTTATCATGTTGATAAATATTCTCTTGAATTTTAGCAGAAAACCTTCCAACAACACAAACTCACTGGCAAATGATACGTTCCCGGGAAGGAAAAACAGGTTCATCCTAGAAGACTGAGATGGTAAAACGTCATGACTGTTAAATTTCACATTTGACTCCAACCATAACAGACCTAAGAAAGATTGCTCTCTCAAAGTTACACCTGATCCAGATGAAAATTATAAATTACAAACCAAGAGGGGCACCTGGTTGGCTCAGTCGGTTAAGCATTCAACTTCAGCTCAGGTCGTGATCTCCCAGTTGATGGGTTTGAGCCCCACACATCCAGCTCTTATGCTGACAGCTCAGAGCCTGGAGTCTGCTTCTGATTCTGCGTCTCCCTCTCCCTCTCCCTCTCTGCCCCTCCCCTGCTGGCACATGCACTCTCTATCTCTCTCTCAAAAATAAATAAACGTTAAAAAAAATTTTAAGAAACATTAAAAATATTTTAATAAATAAATTATAACCAACGTAATTCTAAAGATATCAACATAAATGTCATTACAGGTATGCCGCGGAAAGGAATACAATTTCACTGGATTGAAGAGACAGGATAATTTTTGACGAAACGGCTTTTTCAATACGAAGTGATACGGGGGCTCCGTAATGCTAGATTCTGAGTACAAAGTTTATTTTAATTTGTTTCACATACAGATAAAAATCCTCAACATTTAGACAACCCAAGTGAGAAACTGATTCTCTTCTATAAAGTATAACTTTTAATAAAGCCCACTGATGACTTAGTAAAGACAAGAAACACAGAATGCATTTAGATAGGATCACCAGTAACTGACGAAGAATCACCATGTACATGTTCACACTTAGTGACACTGACATCAGGAAAATTTTTGATTTTGTAAAAATGCTGGCATGACCATGAGAGTATGGTTTGACAACTCACTGAACTGAGGAAACCATAGTGCCAACAGAGAACAAAGAGAAATTCAATATGTTACTCCCTCATGTTGTTTGCACAGTTCAAAAATTTTAACAGCTGGGTTCAGGGTTAGAAGACAACTGGGGGCCTCACTGTAGGAGCAGGAGGATTAAATGACAAAAGCAAAGGAAATGGAGAACAGGAAGGCATCTGGCATTCTGGTTTTGGACTATCATTTTCCTCATCAGGTCACCAATCTTGAAATGCTTTTTTTTTTAATGTTTATTTTTGAGAGAGACAGAGCATGAGTGGGGAAGGGGCAGAGAGAGAGAGGGAGACACAGAATCTGAAACAGGGTCCAGCCTCTGAGCTGTCAGCATAGAGCCCGTGCGGGGTTCAAACTCCAAAACAGCAAGATCATGACCTAGGCTGAAGTTGGACACTTAACCCACTGAGCCACCCAAGTGCCCCTCGAAATGCCTTTAATTCCTGGTGGGGAAGGATTGTGGTCTTTTACATAATTGTGCAGCAAAAACCTCTTTTCACACAGGACCATAACTATTTTTGGTAACAGTTTCCAAGTTCCAAAGAAAAATATTTGCTGTATTTTAAAATACTAGGCTTAAGAGCTCTATTATTTATTTCTTCACACTGTGCCGCAATGTTCTTTCTTCTTTCTCCTCCTCTTCTTTTTTTAAAATAAGCTCTATGCCCGATGTGGGGCTTGAACTCATGACCTCAGGATCAAGAGTCACAAGCTCTACCAACGGAGTCAGCCAGCCAGGCACCCCCGACAGTGCTATTTAATTTTTTTTTAATGTTTATTTATTTCTGAGAGAGAGAAAGAGCATGAGCAGGGGAGGAGCAGAGACAGAGAGGGAGACACAGAATCCAAAGCAGGCTCCAGGCTCTGAGCTGTCAGAACAGAGCAGGATGTGGGGCTCGAACTCATGGACTGCGAGATCATGACCTGAGCCAAGGTCAGCCGCTTAACTGACTAAGCCACCCAGGCGCCACGTCCCACAATGCTTTTTTCTTAACATTGCAATTAACCATGTTCGATACTGATTTTACAACTAAAGGTGGTCAGGCTAGAAAAAAGTCTGGCTGAGTCATTTTTGAGGAACCGTAGTGGAAGAAGAGGCAGAGGAAAGGAGGCAGAGAAAGGACATAGGCAGCCAACCTCAATAGCCCTGGTTTATGCCCAGACTTGCCCAGCTAGCACACTTGGTGGCTGGAGTCCCAGGAGCAGCTGGAATACAGATTCCCGGCCTCTAGGGAGAGCTAAAGCCTTGCCATGGTTCTCCCTGGTGCGCCTCTAGCTTCTTTCTTCTTTTGTCTAATCACAAGTCAGCTTCTCCCGGTGTCCTGAGAACAGATTCACCAGTATTTTGTGTTTCCTGGCATGTATGTTCCAGTTCCAGTGTTTCCTGGCATGTATGTTCCAGTTCCAGTGTTAATGTTCTGGTATTTGGCAATATTTTCTTAATAAAATCCCCTTGCTGGCCTCCTGGAACACATTTATACTACTTCTCCCGCTACTAGAATATTCATGATCAAGTATGAGATTAAAATTCATTTACAGTAATATTGTTATAGAAGATTATATCCCAGATGAGTAACATCTGAAGAAATTAACTACACTAATTGAATCTTCTCCCCACCCCCCACTCTGGTCACTTTGCCTCTCTATGCTTAAACAAAAGTAAGTCATATTAAAATTTCCCTAAGGGCACCTGGTTGGCTCAGTCGATTAAGCATCAGACTTCGGTTCAGGTCATGATCTCGAGTCGGTGCATTCCAGCCCTACGTTGGGCTCCATGCTGATAGCTCAGAGCCTGGAGCCTGTTTTGGATTCTGTGTCTCCCTCTCTCTCTACCCAAGCCCGCTCACACTCTGTCTTTCTGTCTCAAACATAAACATTAAAAAAAAAAAAATCAAATTTCCCAAAAATTTCTGGTAAGGGATAACAAAACATACAGTGACATATTATTCTTCTCCAGCTTCCCCTTTCTACCACCCCCAGTGGATCATCCATCCAAACAGCCTAACTCTGCCAGACTAATCACCTTTAAAACCAGATTCAGAACTTTCCATAGGGCCATTCATTAATGGTTCAGAGCATCACTCAGTTCACACTTCGATTCACCTCAAGAAGTCCAAACTCTCTCCAGAATCTGGACCAGATTCTAAACTGCTTTACAGTCTCTAGAATCACTTAATCATTTTATTTCTTACCACCAAATGCATAAGGACCACTTCCTGTCCCTGGCCAATTACAAGCACCCTCTGGCGCAGATTCCTCTCACCTGGAATGCCTCACTTGCTTTTCCCAAATTCTTCCTCTTCAAGGCCCAGATCAAATTCTGCCACCTCTGAAACAACTCTGTCAAAACAAATTACTGGACTCAGAAGACATTTCCTCTAGCCAACTGTTCTACTATAATTAAAGTTTCACTAGACAAATTAGCATAATTTACAGGAAAACAAAATCTGCTGTTGCTTTAACTCAAGCATCATTTTGGTAAGAAATGCCTGGGCACAGGAAGGGGCGTGGGCATCTCAGGGTAACAGGACTGATTAACACTACCAGTTCCTTCCTTAGAAGTAGGAGCTGGACCACCGGTAGGATTTGGAGGGGGTCGTATTCTTCAGTTGCACTGCAGCAGAGAAAGGACTGCCAAACACTGGTCCTCTCTCAATTTGGGAAGGATAAAGAAAGGATCTGAGTTTAACCCCGGTAACTCTTTTAGCAAGAGCAAATGATTTAACTGTCTTCAACACCTGTAGCGACTGTAATTGGAATTCCTACCTCTTGGAGTTGTAGAGAGGATACAATGAGCGCACTGCGAAAATGTACTAAGCACTCAACAAAGGGGTGCCATATATACAAGACGATGCATATTTATGTACAAACCGCAGCCCCCGGATTTATACCTGAATGGGCAAAAATGTTGGGGAGCAGGCTAGTTCTTAACGTGGATATCATGAAGCTCTTGAAATTTGGTGAATTTCGTGCTAAATTGTGTTGATATATTCTCCTGCGAAAACGATATGTTGTTTGCATGAGGGTCTGAACGGAGATTGTGAACGAAAACGGGTGGGGAAATCAGTAGAGCAGGGAAGGATTCGGATTTAGAGAAGGGGGGGGGGGGCGGTGAGCTAAGAAAAGCGAAGTACAGATTTACCAGCGCGGGTCGCGGCCTGCTCCCTTTCCTCCCGGAGGTCTGACGGGGCCCGCCTTTGACTCCCTTCTCTCTGCTCCTTGGGCCTCGTGAGGCCTTCACGTCTCCGTCCTTTTACTTTCAGAAAGAAACCCGCGCCACCGGCGGAAACCCGTGGGCCCGCAGCAGCAGGCGGGGTCCGTCTTCAAACCCCGCGCGAGGGCCAGGCCAGAGCGTGAGGGGGCGTGCCGGCAGGAGGGCGCCGGGCCAATGAGAGAGCGGCATAGGTGCAGAGGGGCCGGAGAAAGGAGAGCACCAGGCCTGTGAGAAAGGGGCCTGGGGCGGTGGGGACGAGAGCGTGCCGGGGTTGGAGGGACGTGTCAGCGCTGAGACGGGCTGAGCCGAGGGGGCGGGCCCGGGGCGGGGCTAGCGGGGGCGGAGCCTGCTCTGGAACTCACCCTTAATGGGCAGCTGGCGGAGGGCTAGAGAAACGGAGCCTGTGCGGAGAGGAGCAAGTCGGTGGCCGTTGTGTGGAGACTGTGTGTGCGGTGAGTGCTGCCATCGCCCCTTCCTGCCGCGGCCCCGTCAGCCCTAGGCCCGCTCCCTCCATCCTCCAAAGCCCGGCGCCCGCCGGGCCTGCAGCTGCTCCGGGGGGGAGTGGAAGAGATGGGCAGGGTCTGTGCGGCGGATCCTTTGTTATGGCACCACATGGGTGTGAGACCGTGCACCGAAGCCCGCTTGGCGACAGAGCCGAGCAGGGGTGGGGGAGACCGGGCCGAGGAGCGGAGATCTGGCTGGAGGGGCCGAGCCCGGAGGACGGGAGAATGGACAGGCCGGGCCGGAGCATCGAAGCCGGATTGCAGGAGACTAGACCCCGGGCCTGGGGACGAGTGGGGGGAGGGGGCGCCGAACCCGGCAGTAGGAAGAGGAGCCGAGAGCCGAAGGCAGCGGGATGCCTGGGAAGGTTGGGCGGCCTTGGGCTAAGATTTGGATCGGGAAGAGAGGAGCGGACGCTCGGCGCCCAGAAACCGTGCCCCTGGGGGGCCGAAGGCGGGCTTGGTGGTGCCGAGAGGCGCGGCCCTCGGGGCCGATCCTCCCGTTACTGGCCGACCGGTTGGTCTTTGCTGCCTGTTCCGTCTCGGGCCTAGATTTTCTCCGGTAGACTGTGTGACTCAGTTTTCCAGAGACGTAACTTCAAGCATTGAATTCCAATTCCTTCTCAGACCTGAGGGCTTCCCTAAGTCCTTGCAGCTCTTCCCTGTGGTTAAATATCCATTGCCAAAGTCCCCTAGGAGCTGCTTTGAAACCCCCTCAGGCCATGCTGAAAATTGCGCCCTTCTCACACTTGTCACTCTTGATTTGAGTGGTCTGTTCTCAAGCCGTGCAGAAGCTTCCTCTCTCCCTGTACTCAGTAAAGGGCATCCAAGCCCAGAAACCAGGAACCAGCCTTCTCAGCTACCGCGCCGTGTTCTTTCCTCAGTTAGCCATCAAGCCTCTGGACCTCCTCCTGAATATCCGCCACATCTGTCCACTTCTCTGTATTCCTGAGAGCCACCCCAGGCTCTCACGTGGCTACAACAGCCTCATTGGTCTCCGTACTTCCAGACCCCTTCCCCCTTTCTAGTCCATTCTTCACAGCACAGGCTGAGTGATCTTTACAAAATAGAATTCCAGAAGGCTTATCCTTTGCCCATAGGACAAACCCAGTGCCTTAACGAGGCTAACAGAGCCAAGCACGGGTTGGGTCCTTGGTCTCCTCCCCTGCCTTATCTTTCATTATAGCACCATTTCACTATCTGCACAGCCAGGCTGATCTTAATACCTATTCTCTGCCTGGAACACTCTGCATTCGCTCTCTCCCTTCTTTACATCACATTTCCTTGTGGAACTTCTACTTAGGTTTCTGTTCTCATTAAGTACTTCAAGGTTTAAGTCTTCTCATCATGTGTTCCTTTTGCATCCTGCATTTCCTAAGAAGGAAATGGCATATCCTTTGCAATTGCTAGTTTATCTCCCCTACTAGTTAGTAAGCAAATTCCATGAAGTACTGTGTTTATCTTGTTGTTCCTTATTGTCTTTCCCCATGTCTAGGGCCTGGCACATGTTAATGCCCAGACTACAGTATTATGGTTTTTTTTAAATAATTAAGCCCTATTTAGAAAAAGTAAACCTATTTTAGGATTACTTGGCAAATTATAATTAAAAGATGTGGATTACAAAGGAACTGCAGAACTGAAATATGGAGACGCTGTAACAACGTGAATATGCAAGATAGTAACAGGTGCTGAGCAAAGTGATTAGACCAGCCTGTATCAAAATGTGCTCAGCCACTTTGAATGTGTTAGAGTCACATGATCTCCAAACTTAAATCATCTCTATCACACCTGATGTTTGAGCTTTGGTTTTGCTTTGCTTTTTTGCAAAAGAAGGCTTTGAAAGTTAGAATGTGTTTTAATAAAAGAACAATTTATTAAAGTGTGGTGATAAAACCTCACAATACAAAGGAAATGAAACATGGTACCTATTTAAATCAGATTTGCTTTTGCTCTCCTTAAAAAAAAAAAAAAAAGGCCTTTCTTCCTGCCATTTTAAGAGACTAACGTGTTGTCTGATATAGACATTTATAATATTTCTTTACTGTTTGCTTTCAAACCTAATTTAACACAACCTACAGCTTCATCCTCCTTCAATGCTAAAAAGCAGTCTTTCCTTTCACGTATGCTTTCAGAACAGTTTTGGTGCCTGGTATTAGATCTTTAAACTCTGCCTCAAAGGTAGGAAGCACTGGTGTTTGGGCCCCCAAAAAGATGTGGGAATTCTTCAACTGTTAGATAATGTTCTGTACACATTTAGTAAATATAAATGTAATGGAGGGGAATAGGCACTCTGTTGTCAGAAGACCCGAGGCCAAGTCCCAAGGGCATCGCTTACTAGCTCTTTCGTAGATTAGGCATAAATTATATACACACCTCATAGGGTAGTTGTAAGGATGAAATGGATGTCTGTTGACGGTGCTTTCTAACTATGTAATGTTATTTCTCTGCCTATTTTGGTTTTGCCTGCAAATTGCTTATAGAGATTCTGAGTTCGAGTAAGATAAAGTTAGGTGATCCCTACTGAGCACTGTCTGGCATCTGGCTTGTGGAGGCACCTCTGAATTCCCCGGGGGGTACAGGCGAGTCCCACACAGGGATGGGACCCATGGCTCTGCCGTCACTGCATCCACTCAGGTTGACTGCAGTACTCTGCACGCAGTTGTTCAGGTAATTATTATAGCACAAATGACAAATGAGTAAATACTGCTCACTCTGACTTTTCCCAGTTTCAAACCTTCTCTCCCTGGGAGGATTTTTTAAGTCAGGTGATTGTAAACACGAATCTGCGTGTAGAGAGGAGTGGTTCTGAGTGGGCAGGAGAAAGTCTTGTAGGTTAGCTGTAATTTTTATGAAAGGCATTCAGGATCCTTCATTCTACATTTATTTTATACACAATTTGGCTTTGAATGGGGGGGAGCAATTCCAGCCTGTCTTCCTGGGCCTGTGGCCCTTCCAGAAGAAAGGAAAGAATGGTTTCATTTGATTCTATGGCACCACTGAACTTAGTCTAGTTTACTCTGTATTTAATTCTACTTGCTGCTCAGTGGGTTTTCACCTCAATTACAAAATAAATATTAAAAGATTGACTCCTCGGTCCAATGACAACATCCCATTCAGTGAGTCTTACAATTCCCCAAAGAAACTCAGAGACTAGATGGGAAACAGTTTCCATAAAACCCCCAGTACATTAGAGCTGAAGTCTTTTCTTATTCAAACTATTTGAAAAGTACGTTTTTCTGTTTCACTTACTAAATTTGGATACATGACTCCTTTTCAGACTTTGTCCTCTGTAATCGGTTATAAATACAACCCTGATGTTTTTCAAGTTTTTGGCAAAAGCATAGTCTTCCCAGAAGTCCTAATGGGAAGGCTTCACCTTTACTTTAGAGGCATACAGAAAATATGTCTTAATAACATACTGAAAGCTTAACATGAAAGCAGTTATGTGACTTTTAGAAGTAAATTACCCAGTGGCATCAGAAACACCATAACTGTCATCCTTATTTTCTTCATTAATTAGAGTAAGTGCACTTTATACTATTTCTGTGTCTCTGCTATCAGTTTCTGTCATGTTATTTATGCTCTTTGCTGCTTCTTAATTAGAGCTTCTAGGTTATGGATTTTAGTTTCCTGTCTTAAAATTATGAATAGTGTCCTATAGGGTAGTAAGTCACGTAGAAGAGTGGGAGTCCTGGCTCTGCCACTTAAGTTACTTAACTGCTCTGAGCCTCAGTCAGCTGAACTGTAAAATGGGGATCTTAACGTCTCAGACCATCATTGGAAGAACTAATCAGAAATACAGTGTGTTGTTTTGTTTTGTTTTTTTTAGATAGATTCATGGAGTTGATTCATAAGTGAGCAGTATTCATTCTGATGTCTCATTTTGAGATTTCAAACCCTTTGAGACCAGGCTTTATCCCTTACCTCAGTTTCCTTGTAGGGTAGCCCCCAGGAACAACCTACTGATGGGGGACAGGTTAGCTGAGTAGGAATCTAGCAAACTGTTTATACTATTTTAAAATCTTATTCGGGGGGCGCCTGGGTGGCGCAGTCGGTTAAGCGTCCGACTTCAGCCAGGTCACGATCTCGCGGTCCGTGAGTTCGAGCCCCGCGTCAGGCTCAGAGCCTGGAGCCTGTTTCCGATTCTGTGTCTCCCTCTCTCTCTGCCCCTCCCCCGTTCATGCTCTGTCTCTCTCTGTCCCAAAAATAAATAAACGTTGAAAAAAAAAATTAAAAAAAAAAAATAAAATAAAATCTTATTCGGAAATCTCTGCTGTAGACACACTTTCAAACTATTCATTTTTAATAACAGAGTTTTGTGGGCTTTTACATAACACTTCATAACTTCATATAGAAATTGCAATTTTAGAAATTAATTTCCATTCTGCACCTTAACTGTAGATGACTTTCTCTGCTTTACTGTATTATTGCAATACATGATGGTCCCTTTAGTTGGCTAACCACAATATAAATAGGAAAACATTACAACTCTTCACTTGTTTAGGAAAACACAGTGTGAAATGTTTAAATATCTGTTTCAGAGTGACAGCAAATTTATACTGAAAACCTGTTTTTAAACTTGAAGATCTGTTTGTATCTTCAGTGGCAAATGCTAAAAGAGTCGAGGAACTTGAGAAGTGACCCTAAGACCCACATTCAAGTTGCCATCTAATGCCAATTGGTCCACTTAAATTTTCTCTAGGACCTAATATATATTCAGAACTCTACTTTGTGAGCAGCAGCATCCTGAATTGGTGGAAAAAAATAACATACATCAGTACAGCAGAAACAATTAGTATTAAGTTCATTGCTGCACTGAGATATATTTTTTAAATCCTTCTTATCTTCCCACTTACGTTTTGCCAAATGAAAATGTTCTAAGAACATAGACTTCTGTTATCATTTAGAGCATTAGATGTTTCCCTTGAGGGATCATTTTTTTTCCTTCAAGA